ATAAACCAATTATAAGGTTTATTGGATTTGGAATCAATAGCCTTTCCTCTAAAGGATTTGCAACTTCCTTTACTGTAGTTTTATGACATCAGCCGGTTTGCTTTTGTGTTGTACATTTGCCTGATCTAACCTATCTATTATAAAATGGCTTGAAGTGCTGATGCTGATGTTCTGGCCTAGCATGATTGTTGTTTGCAGAAAAAATAAATACTTAAGTCAGAAAGGAAAAGAAAGGAAAAAAACATTACCAGAATCTTCCCCAAAAGAGATTTTTCAAGTGGGCGCCCATATTGGTAATAGAGGCAATCGCTAAGTGCAACAATATATGAAACAGAGATCAAGTTTGTCTACTCAGAAGTAAATCCCATTGACTCTCCCTTTGAAAGAGCGTTATACAGAGTAAATCCCATTGACTCTAAGAGTGTGTCTTAGAGCTGCTTGCTAGCCAACACATACTGTATGCTGTGGACAGGAATTCTCTAGAACAAAACAGACCAACCTTCCAATGTTGGCACAGGATTCAGAGCAGCTAATAACAATTCAAACCAATTCAAAGCAAAATCATTTACCAAAACAAAAACAAAAAAATCATGCAGATGCAGCAGGTAGACAAAAAACATTCCTTGTATGGAACAAGGGCCAAAACAGGAAAGAACCTAAGCACTGGGCTGACCTCTTCTGAATTTGAAAGCTATGCAGGACAGGCCCTGCTTAGTACCTGGAGCGGAATTACCAGGTGATGCCAGGCTAGACTGGGAAGTCAAAATGTATGGATTGGGGTATGAGCTGGCAAATTATCAATTTTAGATAATGGGGTGTAAGGAGTTTTGTCATTCCAGGATTTGCTGCAAGTGTGGGAAGGACACTGACTGGTAAGCTTGAAGTAAGTACAGATTGGCCCATGTTATTCTCAGCAGTTTGTGGTCCACAAAAGTGAATGTGATCACCAGTTGACTTCAAACTGCTTTGTGAGAGATTGGGGACTGGAAGTGGTGTGGTGGGGAAGTATCCGAAGTAAAGTTCTTCTGTATGTCCAGTCAGGATCTGAGCCATTGCATGCATTTTGAATTAGCTCCCCAAATGTCCTTTCAAAATCATCTTGATCAGAGAACATTGAATGTTTCCTGAATTTTGTTGCTTATGTTGGATTTCCAATTCTGTTTGGTATTGATTGTGGACTTGAAAATGCAATCTTCGCATTTTTCAAATTAATTTTGCAAATTGCATTGCTCAAGCAGCCTCAGGAGCCCTCTCTTCCCATTCATTCTGCTTTTTTTCCAAAAGGCAGAGATGGTGAGTCACCACTGGGAAAGTGATTTCACAACAAGGTATTTTCATCAACGTGGTCCTATATTCTATTATTTCTCAAAAATAACCAAAAAATATTTGTTTGCACAAGGCCTTGATCAGATTGCAAATATTGTCTGTAAATGTCACAGTTTCAATGTAGGATATATAACATGAAAACAGACTGATGTGGGTGGATTACAAAATACTGAGAATATTGGATTTTCCCTTTAATGACTTTCTTGAGGTTCCTGGGAAACTAATACCTCAGACAAGAAGCAAGGTGGTAGGCAATGCTTTAGGTTGTAGTTCAAAATTAAACCTATAACTGAATGCAATGAAGACAATGACAATGACGATGACGATGATGATGACGATGATGATGATGATGATCTGCCACAGAAGATGGCATTTAGTCAACCACGGCCTGTGATCGAATGTATCTACGAAGGGTAGAGGGTAATGTGGTGGATTGCAATAGAGAGCAAGGTTCTCAGGAAGGAGGGGGTGCATTCCAGGAAGGGCAAAGAGATAAGAGACAACACAGTCTGGAGCAGGAGCATAGGAAGTGTAAGAAGTTTAGAATAGCCACTTCCTAGAATCTCCCAGGGTATATCCACTAGTTGCAGTAGTACATATTTAGTCTGGCAAGATTCTGTCTATATGATATAAGCAATAAAAGAACTGAATTTGGATGAACTGTTTCCCTATTGTTCTTGGATTGGGCCTGACATGGCCTGTTCATACAGAAAAATGATGCATGGTCAGAGGTCAAACTATTTTTCAAACTGTTGCCAATAAAACTACATAGATATGTCCATAAATTGATCAGGAGTCAGACACAACCTAAGGAATCCTTTCCTACTATTCCTAATTTCATTCAGAAAATTGGGCATAAGAAGAATGTTCTCTGATTCATGTTTATTTGTTTACTTATTAGTAGAGTACAGCATTTGCCACCATCCCCAACGGCACAGCCCTGACAATGTCTTATTTGTATCTTGATTTACACATATCCATCAACCAATCTAGTTCCCAGCTGGCAGCAGTGCCCTCACCCCAAAGGGCATCTTGGCTACCCAAGGATTCTAAGCAATGCCATCCAATTTAGGGACCTTGAACTAGGAAGCAAAGGGAAGTATAATCAAGTCCCATTAACCCAAGTGGAGGAGGTCAGAAGAAATATGTGGAGGTGGCTGATTGTAAAGAAATGTAAAATTGACCTTGGGGAAGGAATGGATGAACTGTTAAGGGGCAAGGAATGACAACTTAATCCTGAGAAAGTGGAAAGCATGAGAAAAAATCTCAAAATAATCCTACCTTGATTTTGACTGGTATAAAATGAAGTACAGAGAAACCCTGACAGGCTTTCAAGATTCTGTTATTATACCCTACAATAATAAAATAGCATTCCTAGAATCCCTGCAATATATATTTCCTGACCTGGCTTACCTTGAATAGCTGATACTGATCTACAAGCCCAATGTGAGTTTTTATGCAAATCCCTCCAATACATAGACTATGGATGCCCAACCAGAGGACCCAGGGTACATGTGATGCCTGGGAGCTGTGATTGCTCATCAAAGGCCCCCTGTAAAAATGGCTGTGTATTGTAATTTTAAATATGACAGAAGGAGTATTCACATTAACAAATTAAAACTGACTTTTATCCTGGTCCTGACCATTACTTTATCCAGCATCACACACTTTTCAGAATGTAGACTTAGATACACCATTCAAAAGCCAAGTGAGACTGTTGTTCCCCCCGAAGCTGCACATCTCTGGTGGAAGGTTAGGAACTGATCGTGGAATTCTTTGGTCTAAGGGCAAGGGAGGCGTTGTGTCCTTCACAAGAGGAGGCATAAGAAAGTGCTAGGAGGAGGCTGGCTTAGAAGTAAGTCTAAGTAATGCACACTTTCCCAACATTTCATTACATTACCCCACCTACTCCAACCCGCAATGACCTGACCTATGAGAACACCCAGGGAGAAGCTACTTATAGTCCCACATTTCTGAGGGGCTCAGAGGGGCTGAAGCCAGATGGTGCTGCTTTTCTGGGGCAGAACTGGTGCTTCGAAAGAACCTCCTGATGGGTATCAAGCTAGCCCCCTCCTTGCCAGTGTTTAAGAAAACGTTAAAGACCAAACTCTTAGCTTGTATACGATGCCATCTTTTATTGATTAATATTTCATCTTTTTTCATTGTCAATCATTTTTTTATTTCTTGTTTGGGGTTTTAATCAGAACATGGGTTATTTGTTTGTTTATTTTTATTTTATTTGTTATGTAAGTCACTGAAAGTTGTTTGATTGTGACAGGGTAGAAGATAAATAGATAGGGAGCAAGACTGCTTGTGGACCCATTCGTCTAGGCATTAATGAAGGCTTGCCAATAATACTTTATCAAAATTAGGACTGCTGAGTAGGAAGTAAGCTAGCTTAAGTAGCTGGAAGATTCTCTGCACACAGAATAGGGGCTTTGGATTACATGTACCGAAAAACAAGCCTTTCCACAAGGCAAATAACACCTTGCCACTTTAGTGCTTTTGCGGTGTTTTTCCAATGTGCCCTCTTAACATCTTATTTGACTCTGACTGTATTTACTAGCTGGGGTGTCTATAGGGTATATTAAAAAAATGTCCAGATGGTGGCTGCAACAGTTCAAGGAAAGCTCAGTTTACTTTTGATGTGCATTGTGTCTGCCCATACCTTGTACATACCCTTGTTTGCTAGGTACTGCTGTGCTGGAAGCCTGACATCTGCCAAATTATTAGAGAGCAGAATATGCAGAACTTGAGTGAATTTTTGACATTCCTTTGCAAATATTCCTTTACCCACTAACAAAACCCAGCTTGCCACAGGCCAGAAGCCAACTTAAGCAGACTTCTCAATCTCTCTTTCAGCACAGCACAGCCACATTGTCCGTCATTGTACAAAAAAGGCCTTCCTATTAATTTCTGTCCTAATGATGGTGTTTTTCCAATTAACACTGAAACATGTGGAGAGAGATTTTTTTTTAATTACTATTCATGAGGTCCAGAGCTGCTGTGAGCATGTTTATACCTATAAAAGGACCATCTCATTAAAAGCGTGGTTCCAAATTGCGGTGTGGGAGAAAGAGATTTCTGAAGAAAGTGTTATTTCTTGAGGAATATCATCTTCCCCATCTGAATTGTGAGTACTTTTCATAACTTTTGAGGATTCAAAAGCTTAGCACAGCTAAAACAACAAAGAAAACTAATCAGAACTCACTTATTTTTTCTACTATTACGTGAGAAGTTCCTTCTTGGAATGTTCATGAACATGCCATACCACCTCACAGCCCAACCAATCAGTGCCCAAGGCTTTGCAGCTATTAATATGATATGTAATACGTAAATTTCCCTGTGGAAAGATGGAGCTTCTTTTCTGAGAGAGAAGGAAGAGATGGTTGGTGCCAAACCCAGTCTCTTTCTGCCAAAATGGCCTCTGACAGAAATCAGAATTATCCAAATATACTATATGACTGCAATCCTAGGCAGCTACTTGGGAGTAAATCATGTTATACTGAGTGGGACAAATTTCAGCATAAACCTACACAGAATTGGTTGTTACTACCAATCTAAAATATGCCAAATAATTTTTCTAATTAAAAAAAAAGTAATCACAGTTTCCTGAAGTCAAATTGGTTAGTTTATTAGATTTATATCCTGCCTTTTAATATAGGCACTCCAGGCACAAACACAATGCTCCTTCCTATTTGCCCCCTAACAACAACCCTAAAAAGTTATAGTAAAGAATTAATTAAAAGAATTAATTAATATGTACTAGAAAACCATCCCAATTCCTAATTCTGGAAAAATTATAATTTGGAATGCTTTCACAAATTTGCTTCTTTAAGAGCATGTTGTTTACTTCTGGTTTACTGTTTTCTTTTATCTGTAGTATTCAACTTCTGAAGGAAGCAGTTCAGAAATCTTATGATGGTTTCGTTATATTCCCAGACCATGTTTTTCTTCCTTCCTTTAAGAAAAACAAAACAAACCCCTTTTCATACACATTGTACACCATCCAGCACGTACTGTTGTCAAAATGTGGTCAGGATGTGTGCTTTATAGATGAATTCAAAATGTGTCAAAACAAGATAATTCCAAAGACAATTTATTTTTTAATCAATATGAGGCAGAATGGAGTTGAAGAAAAGTTACTGTTTGTATTTTCACCTGACAGTAGATAAGACACTTTGAGTGCAAAGATTCACCAAGGGGGCAGGAGAATGAAGAACTATTCTTTCTCCAACATACTTTTTAAAAAGTTTAATTCACAGGACAGTTATAAATCATGCCCCCCCCCTTTGGCGACCTAGTATGATGAATTACAACTCCCATCATCATCAACTATTTGGGAGGGCTCTGAAATTGTAGTCAAACAATATGGTGGGCACCAGATTATGTTTTCCATAAACAATGGAACTGAGGGGAGGCAGGTCAGCAGAGAACAGCAGTTGCTATCATGTCCTGATTTCTTACAAGCTTCTGGCTATCCACTGCTAGAAACAAAATAGTAGACTAACTGAATGTTGAGCCTGATCCAGCTTCATTGAACTGGTTCCATTCAGCTTCTTCATCCCCTAAAGATACTTTGTAGATTTGGATCCTGAATGCCTTCCAATAACATCTTAGGAATAGATGGTGTCATCTGAGCTGGCATCAATGGAATATTTTATTTAAAATGTTCTTTACATTAGAAAAGAAGGGATCATCCTGAGGAGTCATCTAAAATAACCTTTCCTTCCTACTGCTATTCAGATGTGCTAGACTACAATTCCCATGCTGTCTGGGAATTCACACCCAACCCATCTAGAGGATATTATTTGGAAAAGGCATTTTAAAATACAAAAGTTGAGGATGAATTATGACTATTTACCTACTGGGAAAAACAGCAGCATCTATCTAAAGCTATTGAAACAGCATGTCTAGAAATGCTAAGAATTATTTTTGCTTACAGGGCTCTGCCAAGCACCTGCAATGGTTTATAAGGTTACATATTTTAAAAAATTGTGAAGTAAAATCCAAATAAAGTGAAAAGTCAGTTGAAACTCAATATTGGATTAAACATACTACACTCAATAAAGGGGCTGTTTCTCAGGCATAAATATATGTAGCATTCAACATTCAATTGCTGAAACAAAAGTAGTCTTTACAAACCTAAGAAAATCAGCTTGATGAACTTCTTTGTGAAGATACTGGAAATACTTCTAAAAAGACCATGGTGCTCCAGGGATTATCCCTTCTGGCGCTACACAACGTGCAAGGCGTAACTGAAGCGACAGTCACAAAAAAGAGCAGGCTTATAATCTTCTGCTTATAGAAAAAACACATTGGTGGTTTTTTGCTGAAAACCTTTAGGCCATTTGCTTCTGGAAATGCTTCCAGGCAAATAGCTTCTAACTTAACACAACTTAAAACTTCAAATACAAACAATGACAGTAACAAAAGTCATATAGTAAGAAGCACGAAAAGCACAAAGTGGCAATCAAGGATAATCGGTTGACAGGAA